GTGTTGTCGGGCTGGGAAAGGATGAGGAGTTGCCTTTGGATATATTGATACTAGCTTGACTCACCGATGATTACCCAGAGTGAAGTGGTGTGTGCGTGGGAGGGTATGAGAGAGGTCGTGGCCAACACTCACCACCTAATGGCAGCTGTATTTAGTAAGAGTCAGAATCGAAGACCTACTTTAGAAATGTTAAAACACATTTAGATATAGCTTTCAAGAAGAGATGCAGTAATTGTTATATGGTGAGAGTATGATAATGGTGATGCTTTAGCCTGAGTATAAGTAGAAGTCTGTTTAACAACTATTCAGTCTTAGTCAGTATACTTAAATTCTTCCAGTGCGAAATATTTCCTCAGTTCACTGCCAGTCATATAGTTATCGACATGTTCTATCAACAAAGTCATGAATATTTCAGTTTCATGAGTCACAACATACTCGGTCCGTCACACACATAACCATTCAGCTGATGTGTTCAGTGCTCTTTGGCGTAAACACGTTAAGGGTGGCACTAAGATTAATTCATAATGACCAATCTTAGTGCCACCCGTATAAACCAGTCTTAGTGCCACTCATATGAACCAATCTTAGTGCCATTCATAAAAGTTGCCTTCGTTACATACATCCACAATAATAACTCTTCTAGTATGCTGGGAAGGATGTGTAATAATATAAGACCGCTAAAGCAAAGGAAGTTAAGTAGCACACACACACAAAGGGAAGCTTCTGGGGAAAATGGGTCGTGTCTCACTCCTCGACACTCTCACCTAGAACACACTGTAACACCTACTCTAGGCTAAGATGACACTGGCACGGCAGAGAAGCTGGGGAGGAAGAAATGACGGGAGGGGAAGTAGAAGAAGTAATAAAGAAGGAAGAGTCATAGGTGTATATAGAGGAAGGAAAATATGATAAAGAGAGATGAAGAGGGATATGGGGAAGAAATAGAGGAAATGAGGAGTAATTTTTGCCGTATAAATCCTTCGCTTTATTGGGGGTAAACGGTGCTTTATGATGTGACGTCCCCAGTTTGAAATCTTAATCCTTAACCTATGGAGTGGTAGGGCCTTCTCTCAGCTGAAAAACTAAGTGCAACACTATTCCTAAATTAAACTCAACATTACGCCCTCAGTAATTATGATTATTTAGTAAAATTTCAACGTACATTTGAAGAGAAATTACTGTTATAAAAAAAATTGTGAAAATATCGAATTAAACGTACATTTTGGTTGATAAATTTATCCTCATTACATCTCGTTACAGAGTGTGTGATATCTGAAATGACTGACAGATTAAAGTCGAACTCAGTGCACCAACACGCTAAGATGAAAATAAATCTTGCATGGCTCCGGAGATTAACGGTGTTTTGGTAAATTAAGTCCGGAGATCTGCCACCGTCTTGAGATCCCGGTGGCAGTGTGTGACTCTTGCAGCTCAAGCAGAGAAGACGTCATCGCGGGTGTCAATCAATGCTAAAATCTTTTAAGTTTGAGAGAGAGAGAGAGAGAGAGAGAGAGAGACGCCCGTATGTACCCTTATTATCATCACATCTCACCAAAATAACAAATATAAAATGAACTCGGGATGTTAATATACATAATGGTCATACATAAGAATAACAGGTTCTCAATACGTTGAATTAAAGATGAACTGACGAAGGAAGAAACATCTGTGTGATTGTGTTGTCAGGGAGGCAAGTAGAGAGAGAAAGAGGAAGAGGGTAGACCATGCACACACTCTCCACCACAACACACAGTACATATCATTATATCTCTGTACTTTCTAATTAGAGATGCGTTAGTCAGGTCCTCGAAAGATTTCTTGGTTGAATATTTGACGGAATTACACATTAGCCTAATTTCTCACTGCACCCCCAGCCCGCTCACACCACAGGCTTTTCACTACATCCCTGACTCCAACACGTCTAAAAGCTGGTGGCTAACACGGTCAGTGACCCATTCTTGATCATCCTTATTTTTTCCAATTAAAAACATCGTGGGTTATATCCAATCTCATTCTAGTTAATTATCATCGAGGGTCATATTATTAATGATACTTAATTATTATTGCATATTAGGGTTGAGTCCATTGAACCTAATTATGCCCCAACTAGAGAGGATGAGGGGGGGAGTGGGGGAATGCGGTGATGAGAGAGGAAGCGTGGTGATGGTGAGTCAGGGAGCGTGGTAATGAGAGAACTGACTGTGTGCTGGGACTCTTCCACGTTGACCTAACAGCCACGGGTTTATATAAACAGTAAAACAAGAAATTCAATTTCATTATTAGCCTGAAGAGCTTAATTATAACAAAACGTCTTATATTTTTTCTTATATCAAAATTATCGTATGTAAGAGAACTTTATTAAGTAAATGAACACTGATCACACACACACACAAACACACACACACACACACACACACACACACACACACACACACACACACACACACACACACACACACACACACACACACACACACACACACACACACGTTGAATTTCTGTAAACCTACGGAAAAAATCCCGTTGTTCATTAATAGCAAAACATATCAACATAATTTCATACCATTGCATTTGAATATGAAATTGATTTAAGATTTTCGGGAACACCTTAAGATTGATCCCCCCTTCATGTTTTTTGATTAGGTTAGGTTAGGCTCGCTAAAGTTAGGGTGAATAATGTTAGGTTAGGTTAGGTTAAGTTACCTGTATGTAAGGATATATTAGATAACGTTAGGTTTGGTTGAGTTGGGTCAGCCTAGCTTAGGTGAGGTTAGGCTAATGGTCAATCTTCAAGAGATCCAATTTTCGTGCAAAGCAAATCATTAAAACCCAAACGAAGAAGGCAATCACACGCCCAATAGCATGTTTCAGTAGCTTACCTTGACGTCTCTGAAATTCCTCCTAGGAGATGAGGCCATAATTCCCTCCAGGTAAATAACAGAGTCACTTCCAATGACCTTCCGAAAGCTCCATTAGTGTCGCAGGATTTAATTAATAAAAAATTCGATGAGTGATTAGCAAGTAAATTGGTGTTTGGAGGAAACGAACCTTTCATCAGGGAATTGAAATCTCAGGCAAATGACGTACAAGTGTGTGTGTGTGTGTGTGTGTGTGTGTGTGTGTGTGTGTGATAATGCCTCTATGTGCACATGTCTTACCTACACATTTGCAAATCTCTCCTCGTTGAAGCAGGCAGGGCAAGATCTTCTCACAACTTTTTACTCAGCACTTCAGACCCACCTCATGATGACCTGTGTTCTGTGCAGGCTCCCTCGTGTTAAGAGAATATTGTGGACCATCTCTAGTCGCCACCACCTTGAGCTATGACCTGACGAGTAGGACAGAAGTTCTTTTATTCTTTCTGGTACATTTGTTGAGGAAGTTGTTGTGGAGAATGTCTGGGAAGTTTGCTGCTGGTTGTTGATGTTAGGAAGGATAATGTTTGTCTTTTTTGTTGTCTGTCTGTCTGTCTCATTTCAATACTACTACTACTAACACTACTACTACTACTACTACTACTAATAATAATAATAATAATAATAATAATAATAATAATAATAATAATAATACCATTGGATCTCAGCATTCTCAGGTTACAGTGTATAGCTGTGAAGTAACCACATCTCCCATTCTATGAAGAAAAGATATTGTATTTTTCATTATTGTTGCGTTTTTTCAGTACTTCGGGTAAAATTAAGATATAAACACTTTTATAAATCAGTGTTACGCTTAGATATGAGTAGCCAGTCATATTTTGTCGCCAGAGTTGATAAATATTAGACTATGTTTATCTCTTATCTTGTGTGTTATGTTGTATGATCAGTCATTAGTGTTGGTGCGCAGAACTCGTATAACAACGCAAATCAAGATGTGAACGATCTTCCTCTGAGTCGACTTTAGTATCAAGGTGTCATTGCAGTGTGAAGAGGGAGGGAGGGAGGGAGGGGGGCGACAGGTGTTTTGATTGCTCTTACTGGCACTGTCCTATTTTTACTTTTAGGGCACATGTCTTCACAACATAACTGACGTTTCTCACAACTGTTGCACATCACCATTGACCTCAATCTGTTTACTGCCTTTCAGGAGTGAGTGACATCAAACACGGAATCAAATAAACTCAAGTCGAACGAAAAAATAATAATACCATGGTCAACAACCTTCACCTCTTGGATAAATCACTTCAAAACCGGTTGGATTCCCATACCACACCACAAAAGTCTAATAAATCTACAACAAAATAAAAATGTATTAATAAAAAATAGCTTAAATGCAAGAGTGAATAAGTTTGTTTTCGATTTATTTTATAAAATTTAATGCCGTCGGTTTAATGACTTAACCGCAAAAGTCTAGCTCAAACATGTGAGTTAAGATTGAATTTACACAGAGGCAAACAATCATGAAAATATTGCTATTGCTTTTTATATTGAAGGTAATTAAGAAAAGTATATCCATTAGTTCTCTCTGAATAAACATGTCAGCTTGTAAATTATGTCACCATCAAAGAAAATCTCGCGGAAAAACTATTAATCAATGTAAATCCGAGACTCACTTGTATCCCTCGGACGCAGCTTATAACTAACTGTAAAACCAAATAACAAACGAGGCTGTAAAATTTCATTGAAATTCACTCAGCATCCACGACGATCTCTCTTGACCTGTTAATTGACTCGGGGCAGCCATCTACTCTGACACGTACAAAATTTCGCTAAATGTGTTAGCTTTCAAACTATGACACTGAATCTTATATAGAAATGTAGAAAGATGAAATGCAGGGAAAAAGAGTTCCATAGAAATATAAAATTAATGGTATTATGCATTTTAGTTTCAATTAAGGGAAGAGTTACGTTCATGAGCCACATGCTTTACCCTTGGGCTCAGGTAATTAAAAAACAAAGATCTTTAATAATATTATATTCATCATTGTGTACATAAGTTTGTTACACTGTTGTTTGTGGTGTATTAAGATATAGTGTGAAGGACCACTCATAACAAACAAACGCTAATACTTTGTTTTCCATTTATTTTTGTATCAAGTACAGTATATAATAAAAATTATGCATTTCATTATACATTCTGTGTTTGTATCTTTTAATACAGACGTAAGGCAATTTGCTTCACTTTAACTTGTAATACATAAGATATAGATTCACAATGTATATAGATTTTAGATGATATTATATAACGTGCTTATCCATGATATAATATTCATCTTACAGTTAAATAATCCCGAACACTATTTCACGCTGAGATGAAGAACAATAGAAACATCATGTGAACATTACAAGCTTAACAGTGTTCAATATATTATTAGTGATCTGCTTTACTTTACAAATATTTTCCAGTTAACTGTTCGAGTATCGACCTTTGATTTCGTTTTACATTTATTTATCCTTGGACAAACCGAGGATAAAAAAATTTTCTCAAGCTAAAAAATAACATTACAAAATTAAAAGACCATATAGCATGTATAGCTGAGGTGAACGTGGAGGGTGCTGTGCATACAGGTAGCAGCGGCCTCACTTGAAGGTGATACCAATGTCAGGAACGTGACTCTCCACCCATTGATTCATCTCTTGCTCTAACTCTGGCGTGAAGTGGTTCTTCCAGTCACCTATGATTCCTGTAAGATAGAATACGTTTATACTGAGACAATAGAGCCAAACACCCATGATGCCTCCCATGTTTATTTATTAAGAGAAAATAAATAAATGTAATATCAAAACTGGTATAGAAACTGATAATTTATAAAGTTGTTTCCCTATTGTGAAGTTTTCTAAGGCAGAAAATAAAGAAATAAAACATGAAATATTAGTCAGCAAGTGGCCAACGATCATGCACCATAATAAATACTGTTGTAGTGACTCTGTTGATATTCGTAGAGCTTTTCATTGTTGATGGACGAGTGCAATTATAAACCTTGTGAAGTCCTCGAAGAACTTAGCTATTGAAGACCAATTATAATTGGTCTTTAGTAGTTAATAATAATGCATAATTATGTATTATTGTGCCATCAATGTTCGTAAGACTTCAAAAACAGTTATTTTCCACAGTTTTCTCTCTACTGCCACGACAGCTGGATAGACTTAATGGGTGAGGTTTTACTGCACACTAATGTACGTAATATTGTCCATAAGTTAAGGAGACGAGGGTTTGTGGCGTTATAACACTAATGAAAGACACACACACACACACCTTTCCTGAAGTACCCTCCAACTTTCTCCCGAACGTCAGCATTAAACACGTCACCGTCTATTAAAGGCTCTCCTCGACTCTTCATTGCAGAGAAGGAAGTGTGGCGACTAACCTGGAGGATGACAATGATCAGTCATGAGCGATTTATACAACTGAAAGTCATCAGCATCATCGTATATACATCTCGTATTAGATGGACAAGTTGTAAACACAGTATTATACCAAAAAAATTGTTACAGTACTTCAAAAATCATTCCTTAGTTATTGACAAAGATTATTCATGAATGTAAACAAGCTTATACACCTTCTGGGGAAATTTTGTAACTCCTGCCCCAGGATCTTATAAAACATGTAATAGGATTATATCATTATAATCGAATAAATTGCATGTAAAAAAGAATGTCTCTACAACTTACATTGTCAAGCTGCTGTTGGGTGAGATTTGTACCGAGGAATTTGTTGAGTTTATGAAGTACTGCCATGATGTCCTCCTTCATGTCCTCATAGAAGACAAAAAACATGTTAGGATGATCCTTCTTCTCCCAGGCCAGTCTCAGGTGGGGCCAATAGGGTCCAAACACTACTGTGGAGGAAGATATAATGAAAAACTCTAAATCACGGACTTTATAGAGGCTCCGGTTCGTGTGAAACCTCCATCTAACGAACTATATGGAGAGGAAAGTCAGTTATATGAAAGCTTTTCCTTACCCTTAACAGAGTGAAACATTATCGACTTAAATGGCGTTATGTACATAAGAAAAATATCACTAAACTATGGGTCTATAACCAGGGAGTTGTGGGGGTCTCGTATAAGTACGAGATTGGTTGAAAATAATAGCTGAGAAATGGATAGTGTCTAAGACGGGATTACTCGGCTGCTATTTTAAAGATCTATTAGACATAAACACCAGGTAATTCAAGTAGATACTAAGACACACACCACACACAAACACACACAAACACACGACTTACTCTTCATTATCAAAGACTTAGGGTCATCACTTACCCTCATCATTCATAAAATACTTTACAAAGTTGGTGAAGGAGCCAGTGTAAGTGAAGGCCTTCATCATACAGTAGTAGTAGTAGTAGGACACCACCACATCCTTGGGGTTCCTCGCCACGTACACCACCTGAGGAACCATGATTAGTATCAGCGTCGGCCATGTCCTTGGGGCTATCTGATCCAGTACGAGTGGACCACCAGCAACAGTAGGTGCTGTGGCCACGTCCGGGAGAACATCTCTTAGAACAGTTGTCAGTTGAAATGTAGTACGATAAATAATTCTTTAGTTACCAAATTTAAGATGAAACTCCTTTCAGTTTATTATTTTTATTTACAATATTTTCTTCACTTTGACTTTGGTTAATGTATTTATAGGTGTCAACTGTTTAACCATTTATCATTAAACTTGAGTAATTCCATCAAAAGGTGGTGTATGTCTTAATGTTTTTATCAGTCAATAAGCGGCTTTTTTCCTTTAACAAAGTATCTAGGCTAGGAAGATGTATTGGATGTACCGATTATCAGCGTTATCAAGTACCATCCACCCAGCCTCTCTCTCACGATCATTAATGTGATACGAATTATGACAACCATTTTTTTTTGTAATAAAAGAAAGATAAAAAATCATTGCTCTAATATGATTACTTTGGTGCTAGAGGGTAGATGAAATGACCAAAGGACATTATGATTGTTCCACTCTGAAAATTTGTCCGTGTTATCACGTTGAGATTGTGTCCTGACTCATTACTATACAGGTTTTATTCTTGGTTCTTGGTGTACCTCATAAGTTCACTTCATATTTTCCTGCAGTTTTTTTATGAAATTTGATTTGATAGCGTAACACTTGTCTGGAGTCTTATATGATTCAAGAAGATTCAGGATAATTTAGAGTACAACAACTTTCCTATTCAAAACTCAACAACAAATTAATATTATTGGCTAAATAATCTGACCTTAGCTTTGTCGAGGAGGTCAGGTGCCAGGACAGAGAGTGGGAGATGGGTCTTGATAACTCGAGGGTCAGCTGTTAACTCACACATCTGTAGAGACATTCCATCTTCGGGCTTCCTTCCCGGGCAAGTTTCTATGAATGCTCGTGCAAAATTGTCAATCTTGGCTCCCTCCATCCCTTTACTGTCAAACATCATGTCCAAACTGAAGATAGAAAAGTCGAGAGATATAAACAATTTCAGCACAGTATCTAGTTAGACTGTCTGACAAAGGATCATATTAGAACTTATTGTTAGTGATCAGTATTCTTCTTTAGCTGTACATTTTCTCGTATACCACCAGTATCGAGCTTATTAAACAGATAAAATTTTATATTCTACTTTCCTTGGTCCTGTGTACCCCTGACTCCCTGCCCGAACATCACAAACCATAAAGGTATACATTGGGCGTTGTACTGAAACATATTCCTAACTTGGGTGAGGAGACGTGACGCGTGAGATGTTGTCCTAAATTCCGCAGACGGAAACTGTGTCGGTTGGTAACTTGATATTTTAAGTCAGTTGCTCTGACGGAGGTTAAACATGTCATCGACCGAGTGACTCTCACCTCATGTCACAAGAACTTAAAGAGAAAGTGGCTCTACAAGATGTAATAGTTGTATTCCAGGGTGTTGGTCTGCAGGACGAGAACAGAGCCCCTTGCCTCACTTCAGCCTTCTTTTCTAATATCGACGAAAAAAAAAAAAAAAAAATATGATCCCCAGGACCTTCATTTACACAATAAAAAGGACACTGACTGTACCTACAACGACTCATACACATCAAGGTACCATGACAGGTGAGGCTAAGGGAGCCGCTCATCACTTCTGGGTTCTTTGTATTTTGGGATAAAGGAGAGAGCGATCTGCCGAAACTTATATTCAGAGAAAAAGATGTCTGTCAGTGCGATTGTGGGAGGAGGGAAGCTGGAGCCACTTTCCCCCGAGTTTAATGATGTATATTTCAGGGTTTGTGTCGTGAACGTCGTTGTTATTGTAGGGTTTCGATCCCGTGTTCCTGTTCGTCCTGTGGACGAAAAACTTAGCCTTATTTGCCGACATATTATGTTAACTATAAATGTATTCTTCCCTGAAACTGACCAATATGTTAAAATATATTTCAGCACCTTTTTTCGAAATTAAGTAATTTGTATATGTTCATACCTAATTTCTGGCGCTCGGTGATAGATGGGCTCATCGGCCTGTGGGTGGTCAAGGTCGGGGTTGTGTAACATCGTCCAGAGGATCTCCTGCATCCACGTCGTCCCAGACTTGGGCATCGTCATGAGTACCACGTCGCTGGACCTGAACTTGGGGAGTATATGACCGTGAGCTAAGAACGCACGTATTGAGTGTGGTTCATCAGAAATGATAAATGTACACCCAGAATGTTAAATGAAAAAAACAACAATGGTGAATGAAAATCATTCTCAACCGAATTATAGATTACTGGAATTAACAACATATATTTTTTTTACTTCAAAGTTGTATATTCTGTCAGCGAAGTTGATGAAAGCTGTGGGGTAGAGCCAGCCGTCGGGCATAAGGCGGATCATCCCTTGTTTGTACATCTTCTGGTCCTTCTCCAGTCGAGTGAGCCACTCCTCGCTCATGGGCACCACCTCATGCCCACTCCTCAGTCGCTGGTTGCTCATCTTTATACAGACAGAGAGAGAGACACACAAACACTACCCTTCACTCGTACACACGGAAGACTGACCAGTCCAAATAGGGGTTAGTAACCACAGCCACTACAGTCACAGTGTTGCCAAGTGTTTGGAGTAAATTACTAAGTTTATTCAATTTAAAATTAAAATATACTGTTTGGCGTTTGATTGCCACTAACACTAGCAAGAGTAAATAATACATGATTTAGTTTTTAAAAAATATTCAATATCAATTTGACTATACAGTACCTTATTGTGACCAGCGGCATATGTACCCAGTATCTGTTCCAGGCCCGAGGAAAATACGTTGCCAGTTAAGGTTTTTCCATCTCAGTCGAGATAACTAATGTTGTATTTGTAACTGCACATTTGGCAACCTAGGTTTAGAAGTTGACCTTCTCGTGGTAGAGATATTATCTGTATAAAGTTTGTTTTTATTTTATCTGCGACACCTGATTTCCTTAGTATTTAAACATCATATGAAACATAGCATGTCCATAAAGAGAAAAAGGAAAGACGTCTTTCGTGAGTACTGGGCCATAACTACCGACCGCCTAGAGTATAATGGTAGTCTGCAGGAGTAGTAGTTCGTATCACTGCAGAAATTTCTATCTCTCATTATTTTTAATGTTGTTGAATAAGTATACTATTAACCTTGTTACGCTCTTAAAGACCTTCGTTGTTAAAGCGCAGTAATAACATTTTAACAACAACAGGAGCTCTCCCACCTGCGCGTGAACAAACATTGTACTCACTGAAACTTAACTATTTCATGACTAAACCTTACTGAAAATAGAATTACGTTCATCGTTAAATAAAAACATTGGAGTACACGCCAGAAATACCTCGAATGAAGATAAATAACATGAACTTATTAATATTCTTCCTCAAATTACGAGCTTCATTACAACGGCTGGTCTCAACCCCTTCATGAACAAGGCGTTAAATAATGGTCAAGCTGAAAGTCGAATCACAATTCGAGGAGTCATTGAATATATTCAAGGGACTGTTATGTAACACATTTACTTCTCTTAGAACAAAATATTAATGATGTTTATTCCGTTACAGCGATCCATAGCCCTGCTTTGAACCTTACTAGTCTTTCTACCTGAGCTTTGAACTGGCGATGACTCAATGTGTGGAAGTGGTGTTCTCTCTCTCTCGCCTTTTAAACCATCTACAGTATATTTCTGAGAGTCAATTAAAAGAAAATTACGTCCATGTCTTCCTTCTTTTTTGCCGAGGTTCGTCACTATATATCACGTGATCACCATTATATGAGCTCTATTCGAACTGTGCTTTGAGCTGGAGATGGTTCAGTGTATTAGGGTGAACCTGGTAGGGAGGCGAGCAAAGATATTCTTTTCAAGATAGGAAAGCTCCAGCTAAAATATATGAAATGTGTGTACGGTACAGTTGCCAGATACCTCAATAATATTGCCATCTATTGGCTGCGTCCAAAAGCTATTCGTGACGTCATAGACGTTGATGTGACGTCATGAGTGATGTTTTACGTTTTTCATTTATTTTAGACATATCACTCTTCATTTATGTATGCATGTATGTAAACATATAAAGAGAGAATGAAAACACTACTGTATAATTTTCACTGATTCCTTTTCCTCAAGATCTTAGATGAGTTCAGAAATTAAAAAGACACAAAATCTTTTCTCTTGCACAATTTGGGGAATAAATGACCTTGTTTTCAGCAGCGTTCTTGGTCTATTAAAGGGCATTCTTATTGTTTATCATTATTGAAATAAACAAACAAAAACCAAAAATTCAAGTTGTGTCTTGGTCACTGATGTATTATAATATTTCATCTAACATGATACATGTAAATATTAACATTAATTATTAATATATATATATATATATATATATATATATATATATATATATATATATATATATATATATATATATATATATATATATATATATATATATATATTATGAAGGAAAAAAGCACACTCGATAACTTCTGTGCAATTCCTCACAGTTCTTCACGTATATTCTGAGCATCTCAATGGCATTTTGCCATCTGCGACTCCTGTCAAATTCGTATCAAGTGAGTCGGAAACCAATGAAAATATGGATGTGTATCCTTTTTCTTCTTGCAAATAACGCAGGGATGCGATCTACCCAGCATGTTGAACTGCGGGTCCAGAAGTCTTGGCTACAGTGTTGCCAGTGGGAAAAATCAAAACGTATCCATAATCTTCTAAAAAGTATCCCAAGAGTTCCTCTTTTTTCTTTAATAAAATGACGAATTTCTTAGTAGCTATGACAACGAAGTTAAACTGAAATATAATGGTGTCATCAAAAATTTTACTGATTATAAAATAGCTATTGTTGGCTGTAGTCCAAGATTTTGAAAACATGCATACGACAACGTGACGTCACAGAAGTACGACTTCAGCGCCATCCTAATTCTGGACTACATAAATGACGTCACTGTGCCTTGAGGTCCCTGCTAGTATTATTACCGACTATTTTACACTTATTCCTGTCTTGAGTATATAGTCTTTGGAGGCGACGAGCGGTGGGGACGAAACAGTTGCCAGATACCAGTCATTTGCCCGTCCTACACAAACACAGACGCACGGCCCCACTCCGCTGAGGTCGCCGGCACCACATCCTGCAAGCTATCCATGTCACCCGTCCACTGCCTCAGTTAAGTCATTTTTATCAACCAGTAATCAATTTCCGGATACTTATTTACATACCTGCGTTAATACTTTTTGCCCCTTGTCAGTTTGTTAAGTTATGTTCCGATGATTATTGGGACAAAATTCTTTTAATAACAATTATAGCATACGTAACCAACTGACCGCCGCCATTTTGAATTTTTTTATATTGATTGATTTTATGGGAGTTCATTACGTGTATAATAAGAGAAACGACATAAGATGAGAAGGCGAAAACTAAGCAAAATAAACGGCTACTAAAATTAACCCAGGGTAAAATTGCAGTTTCGGCCGATGTACCCTAGTAGTTTAGAAATTAGTTTATCATGTGTATTTTGTTGTAATTTAATCGAATTTAACCTGTATTTCCGGGGGAATGTACCCGTTTTAGTTATCCCCCCAAAAGTATGGAAAAACTTGAATTCATTTCTGGCGTTATTATTCGTTGCCCTCTGGTTGAAATGGTGTTAGAAATACTCCAAATAATGAGATATAAACGTTGGGGATGGTTAAAAGTCGGCCGTGTATTGGCCGAAACTGCAATAATACCTCACCCAGTACTGTTGTTTGTTACACTAGTAGAAAACAAGCGAAGGGGTTCTTTGTTGAGCTCTTTCTGTTTATTACGGTATTAGAGGAGACATCACGGGACTGTAGGACTGGTCAGCCTTAAGAATATTTGTATACTGGTGATTTAATATTGATAACATATAGTATTGAAAAGGCAGTGGAGAAATCTAAGGAATGATAATTATAATCATTAAAAAAAAATATTTAATTTATTTATTTAATTCTTGTATTTCTTGACCGCCCAGTAAATAGCTAGCCCATATGCCTATGATTATTTAATTGCTTTTACACTGATACTGGCAATAAAATCATAAGTATAAATAATAAGAGGAAGAGGAGGATTGTTAATAATAATATAAAAACAATTATACGAATAGAAATATAAAAAAAAATAATTACATGACAAATTCAAATGGCTAACTGAAAGATAGTGTGGTAGGGGATAACAAAATCAGGATATATGGCAAGAATGTCTTCTAATACAACTCTGCCAATGCACGTGGGTAGACTTGGTTTATTTAGACTTTGGTTATGTTGTCTTAATGGTCAATTTAAGATAATAGCCAGGTTTCGAATTCCGTTATTTTATTGTTTGCAACCACATTACCTAACAAAAGTAAGACGAATTTCTTCTATGATACTTTTTGCGCTGACGAGTAACAATGGAGATATACAAAGTGGAAAAAATTGAAACCAGGCTATCACAAATTGAGTCATAATAATTTAAAACTGTACTGAATGTGTGTAGGAGTGAAGAGGGAGGGGGGGACTAAAAACTGTGTAAAAGTGATTGACTTTGAACTGTAGAAAAGCTGTTGTGGAAGAGAGCAATTGACTTAGAGTAAAAGTTATATAGAAGGGATGGTTTGATTAAAAGTTGCTTAGGAGTGAGGGATTGATTTCTGAAGCTGTGTAGGAGTGAGGGATTGACTTAGAACTGCAATGACGTTGAAATGTATAGAATAAAATGGATACTTCAGTCATAATTAGGGATGTGGGGATAATAAGAGGGTCAGGGAATGGTAGAGACGAGGGTGGATGAATGAAATAAAAAACTGGGTCCCCAGAGGGATACAAAACCTTCGAGGATTGGTAAAAACAGCCCGAGAACATTTAGAGTAGAGGACTGTGGTCGCCAGCCTCAGAAAAGAGGACGGTACTCAGATTGATTGCCGTCGTGTAGGAGGGAGGGAGGGAATGACTTAGTCCTGAAGTTGTGTGGGAGTGATGGACTGATTTCTTAAGATGTTTTGGTGAGGAATTGACTACTTGTGCGTAGGAGTGAATGATTCACTTCTGATGCTGTGTAGGAGCGGGGAATCGACTTATAATTTTACTGAAGTTGTGTAGGAATTGACCTCTGCAGTTATGTAGGAGTGATGCATAGACGTCCCAAGTTGCTTAAAGTGAGGCATTTACTTTTCGAGTTTTGTAAGATAGTGGGATTGACTTAAATCTGAGCTGAAGTTGCGTAGGAGTGAGGGAATGACTTGTATGCGTGAGGGATTGCTTGTAACTGCAGAAACAGTATTATTGACGTTTTGTGTTCAGTTGAAGCCTATAAGTATGAGCTAGGAGTTTATTGTTATCCTTTACAGACGTTGAAGATAACGATAAATGCTTAGTACAATATATATATATATATATATATATATATATATATATATATATATATATATATATATATATATATATATATATATATATATATATATATATATATATATATATATATGTGTGTGTGTGTGTAATAATCCATGAACATTATAATAGGAAGTATTAATGACTTCCTGGCTATT